AACTCATCCACACATATATCCTATATTACATTTAAATTATATTTCAATGCAATGTTTTCGATCATTAGTAACTGTAATCTTACTTCATAGTAAACATTATTTCGATTATAAATAAAAATCATTTATATCTGTCAGCTTAATTCTTGAGAACAATTTTATTTTCTCAAACATGTAAAATTTAAAATTCTTAAAATTATACTTGTTTTATGTAATCTAATTAAATTCTTTTGCTTGCAAGTTTTTTAGCAGAAAGTCTCCATTATTCAGCACATTATTCAAATGAGCATATAATTCAGTTTCTTGGTTTCGATTGATCTCTTGAGATAATATTGTTAAGGGGACTTTCATTTTGTATGAAAGTGAATAAAAAAGAGATTCGTTGGTCGATCTCACCAGATGAGGATGGATAAATTTGTTATACTGCAGCCATTTGGCTTTTATACGATATTCATTTTGACGCAGTTAACAAGGCTTTCTCTCTCGTTTAGGGTGAAAAAGTGCAGAGCTTTCGTCTATCATATGATGGACATCATCAGAGCCGGGTATCATTCTTGTAAAAGTATCACGTTAACACTAAGGCAAGAACACTATCCGGATCAATCTTACTTCTTATATAGACTCAATTGAGCCAAAATAAAATTAAAAACCTAGATAGATCGATATAGAATGATTTGGTTAATTTTCTTTCATACTGGTCCTGTTATTGCTTGAGTATGTGTATTTGTGTGTGTTTGCGTCTATATACGATACGGTTCCTAAATCAGAGTTTGCAAAGTTTTACTCTCATGTTCTGATCCTCAAGACCTAATGACCCAAGAGAAAGCCTTGACTTAGACTGCGTAGGTCCGTAAACAAGTATTGTTGAAATAATGATATATAAGCTTGTAAGCATGAAAATCAAGTTACGAAACCATTTGTTCTAACCTTTCAGACTAGGGTAATTAACGTTTAACCCTCCAAGGAAAGGCAAGACTAGGGTTACGTAATCTGACATGTCTGGTGTTGTTGATAAATTTACTCTAACATTTTGGACACTAACACGCGCAAATACATATACTCATAAAATTGAGCTAAAATAACCTGACTGGTATAAAAGAAAATTAACCAAACCACTCTATATCGATCTATCTAGGTTTTTTATTTTATTTTGGCTCAATTGAATCTATATAAGAAGCAAGATAGAGCCGGATAGTGTTCTTGGCCTAGTGTTAACGTAAGACTGAAAAATAATGAAACCCAGCTCTGATGATGTCCATCATACGATGGACGAAAGCTCAGCACTTTTTCACAGAAATGTTGGAGAAGGTCTTGTGGACTGCGGCAACATGAATACCGTATAAAATCCAAACGGCTGCAGTACAATAAGATTCAAACGTCCTAATCTGGTGAAATTGAACAAAGAATCTCTTCTTCATTCACTTTCATATGAACTGAAAGTTTTCCTAACAATAAAGGGATTGTAGACAGTATCCTAAAAAATCAATAAAACCGACTAACAATTTTTACAAAATTTATAATAGCACAGGACAGAAAGTAACAATTAAACATAAAACGACCTATATAAGGGTTTTAATTTGACACATTGCAATTGTATGCACGGACCATGACTCCTCACTTCGAGCCCATAAATCTGATAGCATAATTTAATCAAATGTTGATATCTTAGACTCTTGGATTGAAGCGGAATCACCAGTAATATGCAGCATCCTTTGAGAAATGGAATGAACGGTGTTCGCCATCTCTGTATAGTCTAATTCTTTTCCGCTATGCATCGCCTTAACTGCTGACTTGTTAAGTTGGCGCACACTCATCTGGTCTTTAGCTGTCTCAGTTGAAGAATTGGCTACTGACGTGTGAATTAAGTGGATTCGATTTGACTTCATTGCAAATAACTTTTTCCCCTTGCGATCGGAATAGCTTTCTGAGTCTGAGGTTATTTCATATTCGCCATAGTCATTATTCCATATCTTGTGACATTCATTATCTATCTGTGTCTCAGCTGCCTCTCGTTCTGGCACCAAGACGGTCTTTGACTGTGTCATAGACTCTTCAGAGAGCTGCGACTGGGGTTCAATCACCTTGCCTAGAAGGTCGGATCTTAACAAAAAGAATTAATTCGATATAATTCTTTGAAGAATAAGATATATTGAGTGCTTGAAATGAAGCAAATTACATATTGTGATTATAATATTAGTAATAAACATTAAAAAGGGTTTTCTTAACGAGACAGGATGAGATTTTATCAAACGTGAGAATAATCAAGCCAAAAGAGAATCGCCATAAGATAGAATAGAGTAGTCAGATGATTAAAAGCATTATATAGGCCACATAGGAAAATTCTTATCAGGAGAGGTATTGCCAAAAATATCAGAGATTGGACACAAGCTTTTAAAAAATGCTTTTGGAACTGAAGTGACTTGACTTCGTTAACGTAACCTAGTCGTGAAGTCAAGAAGACTTAGTTAGGCGCATCTTGTCCGAAGTCCTCTGCTATTATAAATATCATAATTCCCAGCATCAGATCGTAGATTTGGTATTTTCTCAGATTTTTCGTAGGCATCATCAGTGAGTATTGCTATTCTCAGTACCAAGCTATAATTCATAATAGAGACAAGTGAAGTCGATCCCTTGATCAACTTTTCTGTAGAAACGGTTGTGCTAGCACTCATCTTTCTATCCTCGCCCATTCATCTACTCCATACAGTCTTATCACACTCTCGCCCTATCACAACTTTTGACTTTTTTACATTCCATTCCTCAAAAGGTGTGTCCTTTATCGTAAGATGAGTGTGGCGTCATCGCTCCTGCTGTTCATCTTGCCCTTCCTCTTCCGATTGGCTTATCCGACTCGGGCCTCATATCCAGATCTCCCTCATGATCCAGTAGATTCGTCTATTATCTTCTGGTCGACCGATTTCACTCGGTTCCAGTTCTAATGTACGTTTTACTCTAGGTGCTATTTCTCAAGACTTTAGAAACACATACAGGGGCGCCTCATCGAGTAGAGCGCCTAGACTCTGATTCCCATGCTTGTAGATATTAAGCATTACGTTAAGAGGTCATCTTGATTAATTCCGTGTAACCTAAGTAAACTGTGGGCGACTTTCCCTGATCGCCTTCTGCATTTGGAAGGGATTTCTAGTACATTTGAGCCATAATGCCAAATTTATGTGATGGTTATAACCATCTGTCGCTCTAATTACATGATTGTCAGCCTCCCAAAAATTTACTGGTTTCTTCGAGAAGTCGCCATTCATTTTATTACGGAATCTCCCCACGATTTTCTCCTCGTGGTTCCTTTCCTGCTGGTTAGCGATATATCCTTGATCCAGGGGTGTCATTTTCGCTCGTCTTGCTGTATCCTTATTTGTTCCGAGTTCGCTTAAGCAATAGGTAAAGTTGTCGCTAACACTGCCTTCCTCCAATCTTCCATTCATTAGATTCTTTTCCAATGATGCCAATGGCTTCACTAATCATCTGTCGCTTTGTGTTTACATCGTGTGATCCCCTTCTTACTGTTGTCCTCCAATTGATCTCGTATTATGTCTGTGCTGATTTTTCTTGCTATTTCTCCAATATTTTTCAGTTCTTACGCGACACATGCTGTGTTATATGCTCCAAACCATCTAGTTTGTCTATATAAAAATAATGGCAAAATAGGATGAAAAATCAGCACAGACAGTATACGAGATCTATTGGAAGGCAAAAGAAGAAGGGTAACTTTGTACATGCTACTGAAGGCTTGAGAAATAACACCTGGAGTATAAGTACACTAGGGCTGGAACTAAGTAAAATCGGTCAGCCAGAAAGTTAAGAAACTGACCTACGGGGCATGATGCAGATCCTGACAGTAGAATAGAGCAGGATCAGTCCCTCGAAAAGGAGGGGAGCAAGTTAAACATCAGGTGTGACGACGTCATGTTGAATTCGCCGAAAGGACACATCACTTCTTGAATATAAACATGCCAGAATTTGCTATAGGATGATGGTGAGACTGGAGGGTAGGACATGGATAGAGGGACCAGGACAAAACGAGGAGTGATAGCTTAACCGTATCGATAAAAAGTTGGTCAAGGAATTGACTTCATTTGTTTCATTGACGAGTTGTAGCTTGTTTGCTGAGAATAGCAAGACTAATTGATGATGCTGACTACGGTGCCTGTGAAACGTCTGAGAATGATGATCACGTATACTATGGACTCCGGATAAGGTGCGTTTCTCTAGATCTTCCTGCTAATATGACCAAGTTGCGAAACCAAGGTCAAACAACTTCGTGACCATACAAAAGGCCACACCATCCTTGTCTTCATACCTTCGATTATAGTATAATGTATAAAAATACATTCGGAGTGCTGTATTTTTCGCTTCCTTACGGTACTGCCAAGCTATTAATAGATCAATTTGTAGTTATCTTACGTTAAGATGGGGCAGCTTTTATATTTCAATACAGTAGGACCGAATGAGAGTTTCCCGAAGATCACATCAGCACAGATTTCCCATGGAGATTAAGTCACATATTAAGAGAGATCTAACTTTGTCTTCTGGTGACGCTGTCTTAGGAATCTCAACACACTTTCGCATAAATCGAATGTCAGTTCAACTATTGTTCATAACACTCAGTGAGATTTTTCACGCATTAGTATTATCATCAGAATTGACAAGCTTAAATAAAGTTAGTGGTGCAACCAACCATCTTGCGTCTATCTTTTTAAAATAAAATTTCGTTTTTATCTGAATGAGCATATTAATGTCTTAGTAGACCTAACCTATATTCGTATTAGTAGTTTTCGAAGCTAATACTAAGGTAAGGGAGTTGATTAAAATAGCGTCATTGACAATCCAGCTAAAAAATGTAATATTGAAAATGCTTGGTTTTCCTTGAAATTCACGTCTGTCCCGTGACCCAGATGACTCGTGTCAATGTGACATAGTGGTTAAGGTGTCGAGACTATAAGCTGCACCACTTAGGATTACATTCAACTGGGGGTGCTTATGAGACCTAGGCGTGGTCGAAACTGTAGTTCACCCTGAATGAGAATATCTTTTCGTAAGCAATGCTATGTAAAATTCAATGGAAACATGGGATCTACTCATACTATTGTGGCGAAATACGACTATCAGTTCCTCCTCACCTTATGCCACCTAGGCTGAATACGATATTTATTTTAGTATTTAGTAAGTTTACTGATTATAAAAGTCAGGCCAGTTTCCCTCCTATAAAGCATTTTCTCTTTAGAGCTAATAAATGAAAGTGTCCCAAATAACTATTTCATAAACTAAAAAGAATTCCAGACTTCGATGTGATGAGAATTTAGTGGCATTGCATGGTGTTTAAATAACGGCAACTCAAAGCGTGAATAACTTAAACACGATAAATCCTAAGCAATATAGCCAAAGCGACATTAGTTGTGAACTAAAGCCTTGGACACCAAATCGCTTAGTTCTGCCATCTAATTTATCTGTGATTACGTTACTTAAGAAGTTTTAGTAAATGGCCAAAAAGGTCTCTTGATGTGTTCCTATGAAGAACAAAATATTTATTTTATAAGGATGGGTGACAGGCTCATTTATTCAGACCGGTTATTAGAGACCTCGAATACTCAGAATCAGGTAGAAATATTTTATCGAAGAACAGAGTCATTACTGTAGAAATTTGCAAATTTGAATCTTCTACTTTATTCAAAACTATCCACTGCACTACCCGGTTTTTAATTCCACTGGGTCTGATGAGACTTAGATAATTCGAAACTGTAGTCCACCCTGGAGGAGGATACCTTTTGGGAAACAAGGTTATGTAAGGCTCAATAAAAACGTGAGATCTAGCCATAAACTTATAGGAAAATGCAATTATCCTTTCTTCATCGCTTCAGAAACACAGCTCTTAATTTCAAAGCTAATTTCTCTTCGAAGGTGATAGCGTGGTCCTATTGTGAGAATACTCATCAAGTCATTATCTCATATATGGGTGATAAACACTCTCCTGGTTCTCTGGCAGAGATACAGATCCATGAATTTGGGCTATATGGAAGCAGCAGAATATGCAGATCAATGAAAATCTCCCGATGACTGGCTTGTCTAAAAGTATTCTATACAAATTTATCTACACAGTATACAATTATTGCAAGCCTTCATTTATTTGAATAAATATCTTTTATGTCGGTTCTTGGATTAAGTCCACTCTAGATATAGCCCTGCCATCTTGATATCCATAACCAAGAGGTGAGTTTTCCAAAAGTAAGTAAATTTCATATGCCTAAACGATAATCTAGATAAAAATATATAAATAAAGGGATAACTCTTTTTTTTAATTTTCGATAGAATTTTGAATATTATGATAAAGGTCAAAAGTTACTTCCTTTATACCCTTACTCATGAGAAATAACAATCATTACTTCCAAGCTAAACTTGCTTATCCAGCACCAACTTTGTTTTACACATAAAACGTCCCCACACTTTTCTATTCTAAGTGTGGGCGATTTGCTAATCAAGTCGTTTCAGTAACATGCTATTAACAGTTTCATTAGTTTAACATTGTGTCATTTTCAACATCCAATTTCTGAGCCCCTTTTATCAAAAAGTTAATGTCTGGACAAAACTTTCAAGATGACGTTAAAATTGTGTGCTGCCATTAACTAATTCGTGTGAGTTAGTAATTAACTGTAGAACGTTTGATTACAAAGAAGCCGACAGATGTCGAACAGATTAAGCAGACCATAAGAATTGCTGATAATAATGAGTATGATTTGTAATATAGACGAAGGGGTCCTACTCATATTGGAATGTTTTCGAGCTAAGGCCATTAAATTAAAGTCCTTAATGTGATTTAACATGATTATCGACCAATCATTCTTTAATAAAAATATTAAAAATAGCCTGAATGAGATCGTTAATCAGTTGGTTTAATACCCATATTGCCCCAAATTGTATCGCATATTAAATTATTTGAACAACAGGAGGTTCGGAAACCTAATCTAAACTAATCTAAATTGTTTAATTAGCTGAATGAAAGCATTTAGAATTTAATGGTTTTGTTAATTACACATTAATCTATCATAAAATGTAAAACATAATCTGAGTTCCATTAGTTTTATTACTATATTGTTACAGGTATGTAGGTAATTTATCAAGAATATGGGATTGAAACTCAAGGATATAAAAGTTAAGAACATTAAGCATTGCTACATCAAAAAGGAAAGTTACCTCAGATCTACAGATATTGGTACCTCGCAACCCTTCGCCCTCAGTTCTTGATTCTGGCAACCAGTCGACCTGACTTTAGCATATAATTCTTTCTCGAAAAGCTTATTTTTCTGCGCAGACCTTGAAGCAGAGGTATTCTGCTTAATTTGAGTAAACCCAGAATGCGCTTCCTCAGAAGTTTTCTGTCTATCAAGCACAAATTCATTTGTTTGGGATGAATTAGAACATCGAACAAGTAAATCTGGCCCATGCTGGAAGCTGCTCTTCTTAACAAAAGCAGATGCTTTTAGGCTTGTAGTGCTGGGAGTTCTGGCATCGTGATGTTTAATTTGACTTCCACTTTTGTGCCACGAATTTTTTGGATAAGTGTTGGCTGCCAATTGGCATGAAGAATCATAAGAGTAGATTTTTGAAGGTTTACAGCCAGGAATTAAGCGATCGGTAATGCTTACTGACCTTTTCTTAAAGTGATTTGAATATGGCATGCTGTTTCCAACATCCATGTGAGCTGACATATGAACTTCTTTTGGTTGAGAATATCTAAATGGTGGGTTGAAATAGCGCGTGTAACGATTAAGAAGTGCATGCTTTGTCAAATCTGGCGTCGCACTAATGCACTTTAGTCGTCTGGCGATTGCCTGAGTAAGGAGAAACGTTAGATTTAAAAAAGCGGTCAGTAAATCTAGATGTCTAGTCGGCGCATTTATCTTATGTTTTTTAATTATATGAAATTTTGTACGTATAATTAACACTATGTGAATCTTAAGTTTAGGAGGTAATATCACTAATATATACATAGACTTAGTATCGCTTCGTAACAAAGCCACACAGATCGTTTAGGTACTGGTGACTCCTGAATTATTAACGATTCTAATTCAAGTCTGCTGATAGTTCTTGTATTCCATTAAAAAAGTCATAGATTATAAACCAACTCAACTTGTATATATACTTAAGCTAAATATCAAAATAAGCATTAAAAAAGATTAATGAGGAATGATCACATGAAGCGAGCTCTAACCGTTTCACTGACTGCTTTTTAAAACAGTTTTTTAGTGCAACAATATTCCGTGAATACTTCTCTTTGAATGATTACACATTCTGCAGCTGCAGTTATTTATCCATTCTAAATCCTTATTTGATTTGTAAAAAGCGTATTATCAGCTCCAACTCTTGAAAATTGACTATTGATTGAGAAAGGACCATATCATTTTCCCACAGCGAATATATATATATATATCCAATGCCATAGAAAATACACTAACTTCATACTTAATTTTCGTGCCTTGTTTTTCAAAATGTTTCAATGTGCCATTAATTCAAAACATATTAGATTTTCTAATTAGTTCAAACTCGTAGGCTTATGGATATGTGATGAGTTCCAATATCATCAAAAATAAAAGAAGAATGATTATTAATCAGTGGTTATATTGGATCAGTTTGACTTAAATTTAAACAAACTTTCAGAGTATGGAATAGCTTTGCCTAATTGAGTTTCATTTATAGTAATGAACTATTACTAGTGCACTTTGCACAAAGGCGTTTTGTTTACAAAATATGCAGTTTAAACCTAAAATTTAAATAAATTAAGTCTAAGTATATAATAAAGAAAATGTAGTTTGTCATTTTTACATGATACCAGATGTTTATTAACTGGGGGCGGTATTTAGGCCTTATCGTTAACTGTAGCGTAATCGTGGTATCAATAGAAACATAGATTTGAATTAGTTATGGATGTAATACAAACTATAACGAGCATCCAAAAGCGTTTTACGTTTTTAATGGCGTTATTGGTGCTTATGATCATAAAAACTTGGAAGTATCAAAGCTTGAACATTGAGCGAGCAAGAACCCTTGTGCAGGAAACAATAAATTCATTTGAGGAAAGTAAAATTCCCTCCTCTTCATTATTCAACGTGTATACTCTCTATGAAGAAATTTGATCGCTATTTAATGCTCTCCTGTAGTCGTTTATTAAAGCTGTGGCATTGGACCATATCGTGTTTGCTCTCAAAAATCGTATGCATATTTAGCTAAGACAAATTTGAACCACTTTAATTACTTTAGTTTATTTATTTGTATCAATTTTAAGTAAATTCAACAATTTTCGTGCATTCATAAAGATTATGCAAATAAAACATCACTGTGCCTACATGATTTTCATTTTGTATTTTCTCTTGCTGTCTTAATCTATTTAATGTGCTGTGATAAAGCCTCCTAACTGCTACTTTTTCACCTTTAACCTTTAATATATTCTTCCCTCTTGGCTCAATGTAATGTGGTAAAACTTTGGTGAACATAGATGCATAGTCACTTGGAAGTAAAGATGAAGTTGGATTCCTCCAAGGTGGCTTTATTTGCATTCCTTTGTTGAGCATTTCGAAAGATCGAATAATATTTTCTAAATCAAATTTGTCGGAACATTTACTATCTCCAGTGTATGGCATAAAGAGAATTTTTTTAAGTGAAACATTGCATTCATTTTGGTCTAAGTTTGGATGAAGATGCGATGAGGAAAGGGGTGAAACATTCGTAATATCTTCTTCGAAATTGTGCATATCATCTAAGGAATTACTTTTATTCAGAGGTATAAAACATAAAATATTCTTTTTTGAACATTCTAATAAAGCTTCTGAATCTGTAGATTCTACAATTTCATATAATTCTTCCATATTATTGGTTAATTATATACTTTTTCCATCAATATCTTTCCTATTGTATTCCATTTTAAGCAAATTATCATTGTCTATTTTTAATGAATTAACAGGAAAGGTAGATCTGGCTCTACAATAAAAATTTATTTATTATATTAGTATGTAAAGATGCAATGCAATTTGGATTATAAATAGACAAGAAATACTCGTGAAGATCACTATCGGATTCATTTCCCGTTTCTCTAATATCAAAAAATCTCTCATCAATTGCTTCATAGAGATCCATTCTTAAATCACGGTATTGATCATTTACAATCTTGGTTGCCATCTAATAATTATTCAAGACTAGCAAAGTTTGCTAATAGTAAAAACAAAATATTATCGTGAGTCGTTACTTTTATTAATTTGCTTTTTTAGAAATAGTTGATTATATTTTATAATATTTATTATATTTTTGTTTTACAATTTATATTCTTGGTTGCGGCTATTTGTTAGTTGACCAAGGAAGTAGTATGGTTCTTATCAGTGTCCCGTGTAAAAAGGCCTATGAAGCTAGCCTTGCCCCTCAAATTATTAAATATATATCTGAAGCTTATTCTCATTCTCAGGCTGATATCTGCAGAAGTTTTGTGGAAAAATTATCGAGATTGAGAAGCGTAGCACTTGGTAAACTTGGTGATAAACACGATGCGACCATTGAAGTCCTATGCCAGTTAGTCCTTCATTCAGACTTATCCTCTTTTAATTGTTGAGTAATAAGCCATTATATCCGTAGGTATCACGACCTACTCATGATGCTCGAAGGCCGCATCCCTATGACCGAAAACGGCGTCCGAATTGATTTTAAGTGGGGCAATGCATTTGGCAAGGATACAATGTTTGTGAAATATTCAACAAGTAACTTGACCTCTCATAATGTTCCCAGAAATTGCGTCTAGTTCTTATGAAAGAGCTTGTGTTTTGTTTTGTATTGCTGCGATCCACAGCCAAATAG